ATAAATCGCTAAGTAAGCAAAAAAAGAGTAGATATGTTAATAAATATGATACTATGCTAATAAATCTATTGCAACCATGTCCTTAAATTCTGGCATATGGCACAAGAAGAATAAATTGTTTCATCCCAATCATAACAAAATAGTCAATAAGACAGCGCAGCTTCAGCACTAATTCACTAAATGAAAATTATCCTCCATAATGAATATCTTTTCTAAAGTTTTGAAGCTAGATTTCATGCAACAGCTAGACAGTCTCAGGCAAAATAAATAAAGATCAGCCAGACCTATTTTAAAGTTATTGCCTAGCAAACAAACTAATATTGAGACATGAAACGTACTGTAGCTATTTGTTTTCAGATAACCTACAAGCTCTGAGTATGTCTCTAATAAACCTTACTGTTTTCCCACTAAAGTTACTAGCTAGCTATTGAAAACAATTCTTAAACTTGTCAAACATCTTAGATTAATCGACATGTAATACACATCTTAATAAAAGGTTTTAAAAATATGTACCATCCTATTATCATTTTATATTATTTAAATTATAAAATTTATATTATTTATTGCCTCCTGTCCCCAAAAATTAACAACAAGCTATTTTATTTGGCCTATAAAGAAGAACACATTCACATATTTGAGTTCTACTATATTAATTATATAATTAAGTTCAATTATATAGTTAAGACACACAAAGTAAAATATTTGCAAAATGTATGTGCTTCAGATAAGAAAAGCATTGCTGTGAATAAAATATGCAAAACAGAGGTGTTAGCTGGTTTTGCACCATTAACAAATTGTCTAATCTTTTCTCATTAAATTACTTGTGATTGTTTACTACAACTGATTTCATTTCAGGAAGTGAAAACACTGTCACTGCATTTTACCAATTTGTTCACAGTGAAATGAAGCACACTGTGAGATTTGTTTTATCATTACAGCTATTCAAAGTGAAATACTCGAATAAAAGAAGATAAAAATTTTAAAAACTTAAGCCAGTATCTATATGGAAAACTTTCAAAAGAATATGCAGAAAGTACAGTAACAGAATAATATGGAAGATGCACATTAGAATATGATATAGGAATTACAGTCAAAAGTCTTTAATCCGGACTCGTCGGGACTTCGGCGATTCCGGATTATCGATTTTTCCGGATTATAGATCATCAGTTTAAATCTGGTAAGATGGCATGCAGAAATTATAAAATTAAAAATATGAAACCGTAATTTATAAAATAATGAGCAATTATGATCTAAAGGGTATCAAAATTTTACCAAAAGAAGCCTAATATTTATTTGTTTACTTTATTAAACATTCTTTCAACGCGCGGATGCGTAAAGCATACCTTAAGCATAGCCGAAATTAGAAAATTGCAACCAAAAACTATTTGATTTGATTCGTGATATTTATAATGACGAAGGAATTTGATTTAAATCGTATAAAAGACGAGTACATCGAAAATACTTATTTAGTATGGAATTATAAGCCGAAATAAATAAAACATCTGCCCTGAAGATAACGATAGTGTTGACAGATCAATTCCATTCGTGCGCCCGCGACGTCCCCCCCCCCGCGCAGAGCAGCGTGAAATTGATAAACAGATTTCGGAACGGTAGATAAACAAGGATATGCTTTATCCATTTTTTGTAGCATTCGTTTTTGTTTGATGGACATCGAAAATACTTTCGGTTTCTAGATCCTTTGGGAGCTCCAGCATCGGAAATTCTATTTGACATAATCGAAAGTTCAAGCTTACTTTTAGAAAGAAAACGCAATTATCAACATTAACTGAAATAGATAATTAGATAATTTTAGCTTATACCGTTCGTTTTACATTAAACGCGCACGCGAAACGTATTCTGCACTTGCGCAGACGCATATGCGCATCGTAAATGTCTTGCGCGCACGAGTAAAAAACGCCTATGCGCATGCGTCAATGCGGCGCATGCGCAGAAAGATTTTAGCTTTGAGGTCCGGATTATAGATCATTCCGGATTACGGGTGTCCGAATTAACGACTTTTGACTGTATTATATTATTTTATTAAGAAATTTACATGAAAATACTGTTTATGTAAAGATTTCCACACATAAAAGTGGATTAAAAAATCTGATACTATTTTTTAGCAGTTCAACATATTTCAGGCTATTTTCAATAAGAAATCATAGCCAACAGAGATAAAATTCAATCCTGTTGAATCACATAATATGAAAAGCAAATAAACTGAGGAGGCAGAGATTCTGATTTGCATCTTCAGATAATAAAACTCTTGTAATTACCAAATTAAATCATTAGCCTCCCTTCCCAAAAACAGTGCACTTATTAAGAACTAAGGGATATTAGCACAAAAGGGATATTAGTCTCAAAACAGCAGTTTGCATCGAATCACTTTTCAAATTGCTGCCACCAAATACAGTACAAAGTCCGAAATCTGAACTCATTGGGACTTTGGTAATTCCGGATTTGGGATTTTTCCGGATATTAGATCATCAGTTTAAATCTAGTAAGATGGCATGTAGAAATAATAAAAATAAAAATATGAATTCGTGATTTATGAAATAATGAAGTATTTATGATCTAAAGGATATCAAAATTTACAAAAAGCTTAATATTTACTTGTTTACCTTATTCAACATTTCTTTTAATGTAAGTTGTTTAAGTTGCTTCGTTTTTTGTGCTAATACTTAATATAATTTTTGTGCTCTCTTTAATTCTGTAGACAGATGTAATCTCTTGTTCAGTTACATTTCTGAAGTCCTGTAAATTCTGTGTCGAGAATTCCGACTAACCTGTCAAATCGAAATTTTTTTCGTTTTAGTAATTTTTCTTTCACTTTCTTGACTATCGATATTTTCTGGATTTAAAACCATACTACAGATTTCGCCATTCATTGATTGATGATTGAGAAGCACTGTCATCACAATGAAAAACTTTTATATCATCTTTATTTATTACCGCTTCTCCACATTTCTTTACAAAATCCGTTAATTGGAAAATTTCACCTTTGTTTTGCGATATCCAAAAACCTTTAAAATGCGCGACTATCATCATCAAATTTAGCTATCGTTCACTACACATATTTGGCTATGCATCATGAGCTTGGCGACTAACGACAAGTTGTTCCGTTACATTTTATCTTGCTTCTATCGCGCAGTGAGACAATTAAGCTTGAATTGTATTAGTTATTTATTATACTTATGTCTATTTCTTGCACATGCTTATCAGAGTTCTGATTAAATAAATTCCCACATATACTTAAGCCTTACTGAGGGCCGGTGCTAGATATCTTACCGCCTGATGCAGTCTCTGTAGGTCCTAAATTCTGCAACCCAGTGCCACCTTACGAGCCCTGGTGCTGGTTCTAGGTTTATGTGAATAAAAAAAATCAATTATTCTTATTTCAAATAACCCTAAATGTAATCTTGGTGTCTATGAATATCATCAACCAAATCTATTTTTAGCATATGGAAAGAAATTTTTGTTAAATTTTTCCTCATCAACATTTTTTAGCACATTTAACTTAAATCTGTAATCATTTCCAAGCATAATGTCAACATTAAAGGTATGGTTACCATATTCCTTTGTTATTGTATTACTAACATAAAAAATTTTTTTAGACACCGCTACATGAGTCATTATTCAAATTGTCATTTATTGATAAACACGGAGTGATGAAAGGAAGGTATAATATATAATGATTCGCATTTGATTTCCCCCCCCTCTGTGCATAATAAAACATCTGGATATTCCAGATTCTTAATTTCACTTCAACACTACATAAAATACATTGTTATTGAAGAAACAATCATTTTAGCATAAATTTGTACGATCAGTAATTTAGCTCCGTTGCTGCTTATCTCCTTGGCACACATCTCAAACCGAAACATTCCATATAGATATATTGCATAAAGCCTACCAGAAAAATGTTGTTGGTGGTTTTGAGGTCCGGATTTTAGATCATTCCGGATAATGAACGTCCGGATTTCGGACTTTGTACTGCATTATCTATCTGTACTACAGTTAAAGAAATTAAATAATGAAGAACATGCATGAATGTATGCATGTTTCACACACTGTGAAAAAACAGCAATACCTAGAGGCATCAAATTTTGAGTAACATAGTCCTCCACCCAAATATGGGCACCTGGAAGCCCGAATTTTGAATTTCAAATTTGTTTTATCATCTATTTCATATTTTGCAAAACTTTCATGAATTTTTGATTAAAAAACAAAGTGAGCAGTGATAACATTATATGGAATAAAATATTTTTATCTCCAGAGTGTGAGACTGTCTCTCAGAAATTCTAAAAATATGTTGTTTTTAAATATTTTAGCCTGAAGAGTGCTGGCTGAAATGCTCTCGAAATGTCTATGTGTGTGTAAATGGAAAAAAAAAAAAAAATGCCCCTTAGTATAAAATATGAAAACTTTCACGTTTTATTTTTTTTATTTATTTTGTTGTTGCTGTATTTGTTAATACATTTTGTTATGTTGTTTCAAGATTATTCTTGCACCATTAGCCACACTAAATCAATCTGTGACTTTTGGTATGGGCTCCAAGGAACCAAGTTTTCTATTTTATCCCAATGATTATTTCTCTGTTTCCGACAGAAGAATCCATGCATGTCTCAATCAGTACCTTTAACATTTTCAGTGAAAATACACATCACAGTTTACCTCAGATTAAATTGTTGATCACATGTATAAACACTTAAAATCATATGTTATTTAAAAAGTATTCACAAAAAGTGAAATTTATTTATGGTCCCACAAAACCCAAACATACAAATATACACAAATCTTTCACCATGCCAATTAATAGGCCTTTTATGAGTATAATATAAAAATTACTATTATACAGTTCCATTGCCTGCAGTCTGATTTACTCAAAATTTGCCTAAACATAATTTTTATTAAATATCAGAGAAAACATATATCAGAAATTGATTATAAATACCTTAAATTGAGACTAAAAACAGAATTAGAAATAAAAATAATATTACCATCTGTGTAATTAGAATCATTCAAAGTGAGATTGCTGCCTCCAGATTTTAATGATTCTAAAATGAGGAAATTAATTTTCATAAATATGCAAAATTATTACATCAGTGTAAACACAATCTACGATATCCAAATTCAAAATTGATCAATACAAACAAAATGCATTTTAAGAATAAAGAACTGTACTCTTATCAATTAACAATCCTAATACATGAACATAGAACTTTCCTTTCCGTATATATGCATATGATGATTTAATTACTGATAGAAAATACATTTTTGAAATTTTGAAAGCCAATATATTTTACTTGCCAATATATAATTTACTTGCCACTCAAATATTTTTATTTCTTGAACTTTTTTTCTTCTTTAACTTAATTCATCTACATAAACTACAAGTAATATATGCTAATATGACAGACAGTACCCCAAAATATATTTAGCATAGACAGGATCAAATACACATTTTCAATTTAAGCCTTTTTTTCTTTTCTTCCCATGCCCTTCTCCAAAAGCACAATTTTTACATGCCATAACAACACATTCAGTTAAATTCATATAACAGTATTTAATTTTGATTTCAAAATTTATGCCAAAGTTCTTCATATAACAGTATTTATTTTTATACCCTAAAAATAATTAAGGAAGAAGTTTGACATTATTTTTTTAACCCCAAAGTAATGATTTATTGTGTCACTCTAAATATAATACTATTTTAAATATAAAATCATAAGCACAGCAATAATATTTAGTCAACAGAGTAATCACTATCATAATAAAATAAGGCCCTGAAATTTCAAGTATTATTTAATACCATTATAAAAAATTTCATAAAATATTTTAACTTCATTACTAGCTAAATCAAACAGGAAGAGAAACGGAGAAAAAAGGAAGCTTATTTTGGTGTAAATTCTGAGTAAAATTCTAGAATTTACTCCTAAAGAAGAAGGGCCTATGTCTAATAGCCTTCAAATCCTATAGAGTTTTATTCAAAATCTTCACAAAATAATATTGTTTTCTTGCTTAATTTTAAAATGGTATCATTGCAATGATTATTGAAGTCTTACCTATAGTAATGCCATATGTAGATTTTATTACATGAATTTTTACCTTAGAACTTGTTTGCAACATGTAAGAATTTTTTAAATTCATATATAGAATGTAGACTTCTCGGTGTATATCAAATTCTCACTTGCCTTTATACTTGTTATATCAATAACATAATTTTTGAGCAAAAGAAAAGGAAGTTTTTTGTTTGATACTTTGGAAAACTTCTCAAATGGGTTCTGTACATACCATAAACATATACTCCAATGAAGTACAAAAAATTTGACATCAGCACCCAGTATACAACTGCTCCTCCAAGTAAAGGTATTAGAGAAAAGAAAGTGGCAACCCATTCAGCCCAAGCTCCTAAGAGATGTCGACAGAGGTCAGGAAATTCCACAGCTGTTCGTGGGAATTCTTTAGAAAAAGAAAAAGAAAAAAAAAAAAAATTGTTATAATGTGAATTGATGAAGCATGAAAATTTAAAATGCTATAATCTTTTTATCTTTCTCTCTCTCTTTCTATATATGTGTATATGCATGTTATATAAATAATATTTATTACTAAATATCTCCTGAATGATTAGTCAAAGAGAAAGTAAACCAAATTTAAGAAATGAATGAAATAATGTACGCTTTTGTATAATATTTTTTGTTATGTGATCCCATTTAGTAAGAATGTATAGAATTATAATTGTCTTAAAAAGGAAAGAAGAGGGGGGAAGTATTTAAAAAACAATGGTGTACCCAGGTGGGGTACAAAGGGCCATATGCTTCCTCTAATTTTTTTTTTTTTTTTTTTTTTTGGGCATTAAAAAAGCGGAAAAAAAACTAAAGGTGACATTTTGCTAATTTTCTTGTTGAAGGAAGTATTTCTGAATTGACTTATTCTCTTAGTGGAAGAGATCACAAGTGCCTATTTTGTTAATTCTTATTATTCACTAAAGTGGATGAACATGTATATAGTACAAATTCCTTTTTCTTTGTGCCTTTTCACTATCTATGCTATATATTTACATAATCAGCGTATTGAGTATCACTAAAATGTGCACTGTTTGTTCTGAATAAAATAGAATACAATTTAAGACATCTTTATGCAATAAAATTTTCAAAATTCTTTGCCTTATAAGGTATTTCTCCTGCCTTCTTGGCATGCCTTCGTGGTGTGGTGGTCTGCACACTGGGTGCATATTCCAGAGGTTTGTGGTTCGATTCCCAGCGAAAGCTGTTGCTAATTTTTTCAATTTTCCTGCTTCCAAAAATATACCTAATGTCTCCACAGTGGTGCCCGAACTAAAAGGGTGGTGGATAATGATTCTCCCCACTCAGGATTTGGCGATTGGGTCACCTAAAAACCCGGTCGCCCTTTAAAAGGGGGAATATATAATGTATTTCTCCCACCTTTGTGGTGTGGTGGTCTGCATACTCCATCCAGAGGTCCATATAATCCAGACGTCTGAGGTTCGATTCCCGACGAAGGCATTTGTTGATTTTTCAAGTCTCTTGTGCTTTCAAAAAATCCTAATGTCTCTACAGCCTTTTGACCTCAAACATTAAGCTAGCTTAGTTTCTATATAACATCTCATATTAAGTCAGTATACAGATAGGAAATAGATATATGAACAGATAGGAATACATATCACATGAGCTTTGTTTTAGTGCAAGCAAGTACTGAATGAAAATAAACATTTTAGTACTCATGTATGATAAAATGCTTAACATAATGAATCAAATTATAAATAAATAGATATATCAAAAATAAGATTATGAATACATTTATTTACTTATTAATTTCTTTCTCAGAATTACCATATGGAGCTTAGAAAACAATTTTTAAATTTTGTAAAGTCATAAAATTTTAAAGCTATATTGCCAAGTATGATTAGTTTTTAAATCTCTTTATCTGCCTGTCTACAGCAATACATCAGATAACTCTTTTGTCATTATGTACAAGAAGACTGGCACAAATTTTAACAGAAATATTGAACATTTAAGATTGAAGGACTTTCCTTACATACTTCTCTTAAACAGGTCAAATTTTATTTAAGAAAAAAATCAAATAAAACAAGCTGCCAGACTGCAAAAATTTGATCATGTAATGTTCCATCTTCCTATGGCAAACTCTATAATATAAGCTTCTTGCTTACATTACAGAGTGCTTGTTTCCTTTTGTATACTTGCAGTAAATTTAAAGTATTTGTATTTTAAGTATAATATTTTTTAGCTAGTAAATGTAAATAAATTAATTTAAAGCATACAATATGAAAACTAATCTTAAATTTGAAAAATACTAAGCATATTTCCTGCCTTAAAGCCTTGAGCGTTTTAAACATATGAATAAATGTCACATAAATATAACTGGAAATGATAAAAAGAAGTCATAAATGACATTTCTTATGAATTTAACTGTAAAAGAGGGTTTGCAATTAATTATTTCCTTTCATCACTTGAAGAGTGTAAATCTACTACTTTGACATATTTTCAAGATAAACATTTAATTACTCTTACTAATTTCCAACATAATGTAGGAAAATGAGAGTAAACACTGCATCATCGGGTTTCAAATATTTTTTCAATTTACACCGTATACTAGAACCTTGATAAACACTCACTACTCCAGTATTTTCAAATGTGCTGCAATAATCTCTGCAAATTTCTCTATCAATCAATTAACCCAATTTTTCTAGAATTAGTTAGGCCTTGGAAAAGCACTCAAAACAGACCTAGTTAAAAACTGTTCTGATGTTTGACAGTTTTTGCTGGTCTGATGTTCGAATCTCCAAGTTACGATCCACTGATGCTACTTTTAATGGTATAGAACTAAAACAAGCTTTCATTTGTGTAATTAATGCTAAAAAGGCACACATGGAATAATACAATAATTCCTCATATTCTTCCTGATTTTCGCTGCAGCTGGGAAGAGACACAAGACAAAGTTGACCAAATCTAAATAGTGATAGGTTACTATCAATTATATTTTAGTATAGGCACCAGTCTAATGATCATTTCACTTTTCACACTAGGGAAAAAAAAAGTAAACTTTGCCCTCATAGAGATACTAACAGCAGATTTTCCAGTTGCTAGCTGGATATGCTAACATTGAGCGCACGCATAGGAGCACGTCATAATTCCTCATAGTGGTTTTCAACCTATGCTTCACAGATTTATTCACCGTTTCCCAATGTTTTCCAGAATAAGTTATATATAGCAAATTAAATAGCCTCTTAATATTTCTCAGAAGAAATAAGTCCTTGAATGCGTTTACTGAATTGAATAGAAGATAAGGCTTTGTCCTCAGCTCATATAAGTTAGTTGGAAAATCGCTAGGAATTTTACAAGGTTTACCTCTACAGGATATATATATCTTCACTGCTTTTGCAGAAAGATCTTTAACTAATTTCATATGCATAAAGAGTAATAAAACCAATAAAGGGGCACATATAACATTTAACGATTCTCATTCTTCTATTCATATGACGTTTGATATCAAATGGCCTACCAAAATCTACTGCAACACATTAAATTTCATTAGATAAATGATTTTTATTTTTTGCACTTTTTACAAACATAAATTTGAAGCTTATACTTTTATTAATGTTTTTGTGGTTTAGAAGATATCTTTCAGAAATCTGCATTAAAAAATTTAATATGTAAACCTTTAGCAATATTTTTACAAAATTCCCTAAAAATGTAACTAATGATAACTTAGGAACTCAAATCTTAACAGGATGAGTCTGTCTTTTTTTGGGGGTACGGAAGAGAAGGAGGCAGATACTTCAGCTATGGGAAACATTGGCATTTTTTCTCTCCTCTCTTTGGGAACCATATAAAAATAAAAGCTTCATATGTTTTTACTGCGAGGTGTTCGGGCAATAAATGAAGTTCGGAAGTTTACTTATTTTGATTCACTTGCCAATCAATCTGTTGAAAATAAACATTCTCACATATATCACTACCCAGACACCTATATTGAATTTCAGATACATGCATAAAAAATGTTGGTTTTACTATTTTATAACTTTCTTGTATTTTATAATACAAGAAAGAATAGATTATTTCGTAGAATATAATAAATCAATATATATAATTTTTCTATATAATTGAAGTGACATAAAGCTTATTTTATGCATAAACTGGGAACATGGTTTAGAATAAAGTGCGATTTAAAGAGATATTTTACTTGGAGTCAAGTCTTTAGTTTGTAATAAATCAGACAATCATTATTTGTACAAATGTAGCATTTCATAATATTTGTTCAAGAGTTTTTACATATCTATTATGACATAAACACCAATGAATGCTTGGTACAAGAATAATAACTGGTATCTCCCCATACAAGGAAGAATGAAATACACTTAGTTAACCTCTTCGCGCCGACTGTCACGTATACGTGCCAGCAACGAACACACTTACCTACCGGCCGACATGCAGGCGTGCCAGAGGATTGTTCCGTTCTCTACCGACTGTCACGTATTTGTGCCAGTACTTTGGAATGTTTTTCAAACTATAATTTCTGCCACAAGATGGCACTGTATGTCCATATGGTTTCAGATACATGTAAATTGGACCTTCTACTCGAAATGAGAAAAGCATGACTCACATACACAAGTTTTTGATTATATAAACAAACGGGGAAATAAATGTTTCCGAATGGTGTGATTTATGACGTCTCTTTAAATCGCACTTTATTCGCACATGGTAGTTGTTTACTGTAATAAGAGAAGCTTTATTTGCTTTAAAGCGTTGAGTATTTCAGTTTGCAGTTAAGTTTTTACAAAATAATTAGATCTTGTTAGACGTGAATTCTTTGTTTTTATCGTTGCAATGTCGAAGTGTCGAAAATGTTTAACAGAGCATGAAAAATAGCAGAAATGATGCAAAATATTTCAGATATTGATGCTGAAACAGGTTTCTGATAGTAGTGATAGTGACTCTATGATATATTCTGATCATAAAGAATCTGGCGAATCAAACTGATGATGAGGACATTTCGGATATCTGCATGCCGAGTACATCGAAAGCAACGTACTTCGTCCATGGTTCATCCACAATAGAAAATTTTTTAAAATCCTCCAAAACGGCAAATGATTTATTAGGAGTGCAAGGAATGTAACATAGGACTGTGTGTAGATCCTGTTTTCAAATTTTTCATACGAAAAGAGAATTTTAAGTAATATATAGTTTTCAGATTGCAAAATGTTAAAATTCATAAAATGGTGAGTAATTAAAATAAAATGTGTAAAATATGCATTGACTGATAAGAAAATGAGACGACATTGCTTCGTTTGTTCACATTCCCGGAAAAATCCTCCAAAACGGCAAATGAGTTATTACAAGTGCAAGGAATGTAACATAGGACTGTGTGTAGATCCCTGTTTTCAAATTTTTCATACGAAAAGAGAATTTTAAGTAATATAT